GATTTCGACAACATTTTTACAAAAAAATGAAAATCGATTTTATTTTCTCTCAACAAAAAAGATAGCATGCATAACAAAGTATGGTTAATTTTTTCAACACTCCAATTCGCTGAACGATTTTTGCATTTAGTAAAACTTTTTGAAAAATTTAGGTAGGGAAACGACAATTATCAAGTTCATCTCGAGGCAATTTTATTGACATACTACTTTTTAGTGACGTATTAGGTGCACCAACTGCAACTAAATAGTCAGGATCTGAATATTTAAGTGTTTTCCTTGTTCGTAGATCATTACTGATTTAGAGTACCCATTTATGGTTAGAACTATTTTCAATAAGACATCCAAAACAAGTTATATTATCAACATTACCTCTATAAATTTCCCCTACGCTTTTACCAAGGTTCACTTTTAAATTCTCGTTTATCTTGTTACATTGTATGTCAACAGCATTTTAAATAATGTCTTTAGGGAAATAAAGGACTGTGTGTTCATTTTTATATTTTGTGATTCTTCAGCATGTTCAATTTTCACTTGGGATATTTAATAATTTTTCAACTTATATTAATTTGTAACCAACAACATCATGTTTTTCCTCATTTATATTGTTGTGAATCGAGTTACTATTTAACCTAAGTTAACCAAAATCCAGTAAACAATGTTTTCCTTTTTCTTTAATTTTTTTGTTATCTTTTTAATTTTTAATTTTATTTTGTGGCACTCGATAAACTTACGTGCTTTCTTTTTTTTATGATAGCTACATCAGCTCCAAGTTATAATTCTTCAAAAATAAATTTTCGATTTTGATAACTGATACAGCATCAGTGATATTACATTTGATCTTAGCCATTAGGCTCAGAAGCGATTTGTACTAGAATAGTATATGGAATTTAATTCTATTAAGAGTTGTTAAGGAATTAGGAATATAGGAATCTATTATCATATGATAATAAAATTGGGAAATGTAACAATTTTATAAATAACTAAAAAACCAATTAAGCAGTCTAATTAAAGTTGTGTTTAAATAGTAACTTTAAAAAACAATTAGTTAGTTAAAAAGAATTGAAATATAAAAAATTATAAATAAAAAGTTTAAAATAGCATTATATCATTATAATATACTTACTTATATAAGTGTTCTCACTATTTCAGCTATGCGGCTTTTAAATTTTTTGAACAATTTAGTATACTTAAATACTAAAAACATTATTATATAAAAATGTTTTTTATTAAACATTTTTGATTAAATTACAGATAATAATGTTAGTTGAAATTTTTTTTTTTTTTCTCATGAAATCTTTTCATATTATATGAAATATCTCTGTCTAAATTTAGTGGTTCTTTAAATGCTAGCTATTTAGATTCATCGTATAGATTTGTAATCAAAAATTTTAGGAATAATAGAATATGTAAGAGATTTTTCCTAACCGATCCATTTTTCGAAATCGCCTCAACACACAATAACGCTTAAGAATTAATAAATAAATACTATATTTAAGTTAAAAATGATAAGATATCGATATTATTTATGTGTTCTGATAAAAAAAAAATGCTTTAAAAAATTATGTCTTGAATACCATTGACGTTAAAGGACTCTTGAAGGTTCCTTAAGCTATTTTAAGGCAAGATTGGATAAAGATAAACTGGCCTGACAGTCGAAAGTTTTAGATTTTTTAACGATAGTTTAAAATTTTAAAATACCTGGAACAATATGCAAAGCAAGAGGTATTAAATTTCTTAAAATTAGTAAGAAAAATCACAGGAGAAATTGCTTGAAAATGAAACTTACCTAGAGTTAGTTTTTAACATGTTTTTTTGACACGGTAGTACTCTGTCTATCTTCGCACAGATTTTCACTGTGAGCATCTGTCAGAGATTGTATTTTTCTTCTTATGATACTAATATAAGCAGATATAAGTCATAGAAGCATGACTCCTTAGATATTTTAACTCAAAAAAGTTTGTAGAAATAGGAAAACCAGCAGCTGAACCCTGGTGTCCCAAAATATTATCGATAAAATGAAAATCTTGACCTAAGAACAGCATAGTTTGCCATTTAATTTAAAATCAGACTACTGAATTCTTTTTATGCCATTTGCATAATGCTCAAGAATAAAGGCAACACTCTTAAAACAATCTGAACTCTGATACATAAAAATGAACCATAAACAGCTCCAGATGTCTTAGAACAGGGCAAGAACTAGAACAAGGGGAAATCTTCTGATGTCTTAGAACAGGGGGGAAGGGGTATGAAATCTTCCGTTTCTAAAAATTAATTCTTTATATCTTTAATTTCTTTTATAAAGTTCTGTTAAAAAAAGTGGAGGTGTAGAGGACGGTGCCCCCCAGGCCCTCCTTGGTAACGTTACCCATGTAGAATTGACAACTTCAAATGTTTACTTTGTTTACTTGTCACCTTTATACCCAGCAATAAACGAACTACAACTCTTCTTCAAAACTAACATCAGAGTTAGTCCTAATTTCAAAGACTGTTTAAAACTTCTTCCTCTTAAGTTGTTATATTAACCATCAATGCAGAGGCTAAACTCGGGATTCATTCGCGGAGGAATAAATCAATTTGGACTCCGCGTAACTTTATTTTTTAATTCTCGCGGAAAAACGTTTTTATTTTTAAATTTACTTTTAAAGTGATCACGTGCTCACTTGAAAATGTAAATAGTTATTGAAGTTGAAGTTTTTGAAGAAAAATCCATCATTTTTACAAAAAAACTTATCTTTTCATGTCTCACTTTTAAAGCATGTTTTTTTTTTTCAAAATGTATTGCTCCTGATGCATCAAGTGCGATGTTTATATCGGAATCTTCTTTACTTGCTTCAGTTAAAAAAAAGCATTATTTTCACAAGAAAACTTGCCTTTTTATGTCTTACTTTTGAGACATAAAATTTTTTCAAAATCAAAAGCCATATAAATTTATTTGTATTTATTATGATTGTTATAAAAGTTACTAAAAATGAAAATGTTTAAAATATTTTTTATAGCAAATCTATATCTATACAATATACTGTTTTGTTATTAATAACAAAACAGTATATTGTATAATTAAATTTTAAGTTAAAATTTAATTTGTTTGAAAATTTTTTAAGTTTAATTTTTTCAAACAAGTTAAAATAAGTTCTATAGACATCCGTTTTAAGCTTCTCCTAATATTCAATATGATTTGTAAAAAATATGCTTTTATGAAATTATAAATCCATATGCTATATACACGTATAAAATTAAAATCTTTTAAAAACATATAAATTTTAAATAGAGCATGCAAAAGAATACATTATCAGGATAGGATAAAAGGATACATTGTTCAGATTAAGCATGCAAAAACATAGAATTTTAGTCAAAATAAGCATGCAAAAGCATCCAATTTACCATATTATAGTAAATTAGATGCTTTTAGATGAATGCAATTGGATGGAATTTGGATGCTTTTGGATGACATTATAGTCCATAATGTAGGCTGGAGACCCTGTAGTATACAGGGAAACCCTGGAAACCCTGTAGTTCTACAATGTAGAACTAGGAAATTTTGATTTAAGAACATCTTAATTTTTTTGCCTTTTAATTTAAAATCTTATGGCTGAATTCTTTAAATATTAATGCCATGATACCCAAGAAAAAAAGGCAATACACAACAATTGTTGTGAAAAAATAAGTTGTGAAATCAAGTGATATATAAGTTTCACTTTGTCCATAAAGTACTTAAATAAAACTTCTAAACTATACTTTTAATTTTTTTTTATTTTTTTATTGTAACTGTAGTATGTGGCTACTGGTCTAGAATGTCTGCTATATGTGTGCTATTCTTACTCTAAAATTTTAACAGTCTTGCACCATTTTTTCATCAGCTAAAGGCTTATTAGTATAGATAAATTTTTGAATATTATTAGTTATGTAAAATTTTTTTGAAGTATTGGTTTTGGTCTTGGGTTAATATTTTGATGTCTTGGTCTTGGTCTTGGTATTAAAGTCTTAAGTTTTGGTCTTGGTCTTTGAAACTGCATCTCTTTATAAAGGCCTAGGGTAATTTTATGAAGGGTGTGTGTGTTTTTTTGGGGAGGTGTGTGTGTGTTGGTTATTGAAAATGTTTGCCCTAAACCTCTAAATGCGTTCTATATAATAAAATATATTACTGGGTTTAAACTATTTTTTGAATAAAAGTTACTTTTTTTAATAAAAACAAAAAATATGCATTTTTGCAAAATGTTAAATTTAAATTATTTTTTCTCACTTTTTTATTATGATTATTATTTGTGTTTTAATTGATTATTATTTTTATACAATTTGGCTACATTTAAGACCCAACTTTTTTGTTAATATTAGAGACTCATCTGATATTCAAGGGTTTTGAGCAAGCCCTATAATATATATATATATATATATATATATATATATATATATATATATATATATATATATATATATATATATATATATATATATATATATATATATATATATATATATATATATATATATATATATATATATATATATATATATATATATATATATAATATATATATATATATATGTAGATATATATATATATATATATATATACATATAATATATATATATATATATATATATATATATATATATATATATAGTATATATATATATATATATATATATATATATATATATATATATATATTATATGTATATATATATATATATATATATATATATATATATATATATATATATATATATATAAGTATAGTATAAATATATATATATATATATATATATATATATATATATATATATATATATATATATATATATATATATATATATATATATATTAAAGTAGTATTGCGTACTAAGGTAAGCAATCCGACATCACACTGAAATATCTTTTATAAATATATATATATATATACATATATATATATATATATATATATATATATATATATATATATATATATATATATATATATATATATATATATATATATATATAAATTTTTTCTGTTTAGACCCACTGACAGTTATTCCTTCTACTCAATTTTCAACTGGTAGGTACTTTTAAATTCATAAAAAACATTTTAAATTAGTTTTTAATTTTAGTATCACTGGAAAAATATTTTTACTAATTATATCAGCTATGTTAAAAAAAAAAGGAAAATTTGTATTTAAAATATTTTTTTCTGTGTATTAAGAGCCAGCAACATTCCTTCATTCTACTCAGTTTTCTAGGGTATATCAAGGTTTTATCCTTGTTGTTATCTAGTCCTGTTTTGCTTTTTATCTACGTTAATAATTATCCTGGTAACCTTTACATTTAAAATGGCTCGAGAAGCTGACTTAACTTTAAACATTAAATCTTGGCAAAAAATTGTCTCTTTTTTTTTTCGCCACTTAAAACAGGCATCACTTAAAACACCACTTAAAAAATTTAAACTCCAACAAAACTCAGTTATTTTACAGCATTTCTATATTAATGAATGGCAACCCTCTCACTTAATTCTCTTAGTTATATCTTCTTGGATTATGGTTCACTACTGACATCTAATAAAAACAATTAATTGTAAAGTTAGCATGCTATGGTTGCTTCTCTTTATTGTGCTCATTAATATCTTACTCTTGATTCCATTCTCTACCTCTAGAAATCTCTTATTTGTCCCTGTATGGAATGTACTGTTGACATATCTAGGCTTTTCTTATGATGCTCTTTTTCTTTTTGACTAGGTCCAAAATAAAATTGTAAACAAAATTGGACCTGCTTTATTATCCAAGTTTGTGTCTTTCTCCCATCATTTTTGAGTTGCACCTCTTTCCTTTTTCTACAAATGCTATCAAGGTCGCTGCTTAAAGGAGCTTGTTCCATCAACCAAAAAACTTTTTTGCTTGACCTGTTAAATAGCATGTTCACATCTTTTTGATGATCACACTTCAACCCTTTAGAACTCTTTCCCATCTTCATATTTTTTTGACTCATACAACCTACAACTTTTCAAGTCTTCTGTCAACCACTTCCGTGCTTTTTAACTCTTTGTTTCTAGTAACTCCCAACTTAATAGTGATTGCTTGTGTTGTTGGAACTGAGTTAAAAAAAAATTCAACTTGTAAGTATTTCTACAATCATCAATTCATTTTTTTAAAATCTTACGTCTTGTGATTGTTGCCACCTGTTTCAAATTGTTTTCTGTAAATATTGTTTTGTTCAAGAATGGAATTGTTATGGAAAAGTGCTTTTAAAATAAACAGAAAAGTTTTGCCATAGATGATATACTAAAAATTTCATGTTAATATGCTGAAATTGATTCTGGAATCTATTTTCAGCATATTAACAAAAATTATAATCAAATAGGCCATCCTATTTTTTTATTTAAAATATTTTTTTTTATGTGTCTGTGCTTACTAGTATTCTACAAAGTTTCAAACTGTTTGAAAAAGTGAATGTTCTGAAACTTTTTAAAAATTTTTAATTTTTTAGTGTCCTAAGATTATTAATAAACTATTTATATGATTAAAATTTTATTAGGAAAATATTTTGTTTGTTTTGTGTTTAGATCCAGTGACGATCCTTCCTTCTACTCAATATCCAACTGGTGGGTATTTTTAAATTCAACAGTTTATTTTTTTCTTTTAAATGTAAATTTCTTTTAAATAATTTAAAATTAAATTAATATCAATTAATATTTTTGTTGCAATTTATTTATATATTTTATTTTTATTTTTAAATACTAAAATTATTTGATATGAATTAACTTTGAATAATTATTTTTGAATATTTTGTCAGATATTAACTATCTGATATTAATAGATACACATTATATAAAAGAGCAAGTATTCTTTTGTTTATTAATTTTTTCTAAAATTTCAATTTTTACAGATTTTTTCAAAGAATAATATTTATTGCCCCTTGGTTTTTATTTGTTTTGCATGCAGCCATTTTGAAGGTTACTCGCATAATTCTTGCATTTTGTTTTTAAAAGTTTTTAAACCATTTGAGTAAAACTAAAAAGTAGTGATTGACTGAAGTTCAATTTATTTCTGGTTTTGGTTATGATAATAGTTTCTCAGATATAGCCTCTCATTTTTAATAAAGTTTAAACATTAAAAAGGTGGAGAAAAATTTTGGGAAATAATGAAGTTTTCTAAAGAGAAAATACTGCTTTTAATGAACTGTGCTGTAATTTAAAATCAGCTGAATTTGCAAACATTTTATGTTGAAATCCTAATCTGTATCATGATAGCACTTGAATTTCTGAATAGCCATGGCATTGTGTTTGCAGTGCTGCATTCAGATTCAAGAGGTTCCAGGTTTAATGTCTGTTTAATGCAATAATAATTATTGTTTTAAACAGGCTCCCTCTATTTTTCAAAGGTTTGTCATGAATAATTAGCAATAGAAAAAGAAATTATAGAAAGTACCACACATATAGTTGCTGCTATAGAAAGTGCCACACATATAGTTGCTGCTCTACTTAATCTAAAATACAAAAGTAGTATCATATCAATCTCATGCTGCATTAAAAAAAGCTAAATACACTTCCATATCCAAATTGAACAACTTTGAACTATTTTGTAATGAATTACTTTTCATTCCAGTAAAATTACAAAAATTCAACATTTTTGCTCATGCCAAAAATTGTTTTGAAATGAGGTGTGTTCCATGGGTGGAATAAAAAATAAAGTTAAATTATCTGAAATGCTAATCAG